GCACAAGCATCCAAACACTCTCAAATACTCCAAAGAAGACTTATACTTGTTAAGAACTTCAAACGGAGCTTGGTCTTTAAGAACTTTTGTTGGTGTGCGGTTGATGAGGTAGCAAGATGTGGTCACATCATCACTCCAAAACCGTTTAGGAACATTAGCTTGGAACATCATTGACCTAGCCACTTCCATCAGATGTCGGTTCTTTCTCTCAGCCACACCATTCTGTTGAGGAGTATAAGGGCAGCTAGTTTGGTGTATAATCCCATGTTTAGCCAGATGTTGCTTGAATGCATAGATTGGGTACTTACCGCCATTATCTGACCTGAAAAATCTTAAACTTGGCATGATAATGGTTAGTCACATAAGCCTGAAAGTTTCTAAATGCATCTAGAACTCTATAGTTTGTTTGGATTAAGGTTAACCAGGTGTATTTCAATTTATCATCAATGAAAATGACAAAATACTTATAATTTTCTCTGATAAGCAAGGAGCAGTCCAAAAATCAGAGTGAATCAAATCAAAGCAATAACCATAAACAGTAGATGAACTTTTAAAAACACTCTTACAATGCTTGCCTAAAATGCAAGCTTCACATTTATCATTTTCAAAAACAACACCTGGTACCATAAGGTTCAATGCTCTAACATGAGGATGACATAATCTAGCAAGCCACAAAGCATTTTTATTCAAGACAAAAGCAGAATTAAATGAGCAAGTGTAATCGGAAATAGGAGCTAAGTCTTTAAGCACATAGAGATCTCCTCTTGTAACTCCTTGTAATATCCTGAAACTTCACATCATTAGGACTAAAACAACATTACATTGTAGATCAGTAGCACATTTCTTAACAGAAAGTAAGTTAGATGTGAACTCAGGCATATAGGAAGCTTTAGATTCTTTACTAAACAATTTTAGATCACCCATTCCTCTAATAGGAATTTTATCACCATTTGCAATCATGACTTGACCACTAGCAGGCTCAATATTTTTAATCAGATTTGTATCACTTATCATGTGATGAGAAGCACCAGAATCAACTATTGGAGGTCTAGGCATGTTCTTAGCAGTATGACAAAGTGAACTAGGTGATCTAGTGCAGTTACTAAGATAGGATTCATCACAAGACTTACTTATCGTAGCAATTTTAGCAATCTAAGCATCAATCATCCTAGTACTCTTATCATTCTCAATAGCATTTCCTAGACTACTCATTACTAGAGAAGCACCAAAAGAATAACCATAACTACTAAGGATGATTATCCTTAAGTATTTTGATGAGAGCATCCATGTCGGATCTCTTAATGAACTCATCATTGCTCTGGGTTCCTTGAGCTCCAGTGTAGGCCACCAGAGACTTGCACTCACCAGCATTGCAATCTCCAGTCTCACGCCCATCTCCATTGTTGATCCGGCTTGAGGTACCAGCTCCACTTGACCCCTCCGAGACATTGGATCTTCCTTCTCTCTCCTTTATAAACTTGGCAGGCTTTAAATGAGGGTGGAGTATCCAGCACTGACTCATCTTATGACCATGCTTCTTGCAATGATCACAGCTTCCATTAAACCTCCTGTCCTCATACTTGCCATGAACCGCCTTGTTAGCTTGATGTCCTTCACCTTGATCAACTTGGGAAGCATGATTCGCCAGATAAACCTCTCCTTCGCCTCCAAATAGGCCTATACACCCTTTCAGATTCTCTCAACAAACTATTCACTCTCTTTGAGCTCAAGTTCTATTAGTCCAATTCCCTTAAAAGTCTTATATACATCAATTATCGAGGTTTACCTCTGTTTTCTTTCTGGAGGGGGTACTGTTGTTTGGTTCCGTCCAGAATTTATTGTTGTTAGGGTTTTTGTTGTTTGGTTTTACTCTTAGGGATAATGTAGTTCAATTTTGTTCTTATGGTTCATAATCAATTTTTTATTGGTGTTTGTGTCGGGGTTGTTTCAATAAAGCCCATAAGAGCATCATTATCCTAGAGACCCATTAAGGGTCTCTTAATTATTTTTAATAGTATTTAGTAATAAATGTGAGTATAAGAAACTTAGTTAAGAGACCCGATCATTTGTATCGTCCATTGCAAGTCTCTTAGTTAAGGGTTCTTAAGAAATTGATTGAATATTTTATTTTTCTTAAAATTAAATTTTTTTGATTAAATAAAACATAGTAAACGATAACATTTTAAACATTGATTTTTAAATAAAAACATTAAAACAAAGATTAGGAGAATAAACAACAATAATATGAAAGAAATATCCGAGCTCAGTTGTTGTCTTCATCAAGTCCAAATTTAGACCATATATGTTCAACCAAATCATCTTTCAATTGTTGATGCATTTGTGTATCACGAATTCTTGTTCGAACACCCATTATATTAGAAATTTTGTAGGGATATCTGTAGAGAACGTGAGATCGAAATTTGAACTTACGTTGTCTTCTCCTTGTTCGAACTCCGAAACATCATATTCAGTGTATCCATCTCGTTCGTCTTATACTATCATAATATGGAGTATGATACATGCTCTCATAATTTTCCCAATTTTTACGTTATCCTAAAACAGTGCTGGATTTTTAGCAATGGCAAAGCGAGCTTGCTAGACTCCAAAAGCACACTCGAAGTGTTTATGGACAACTTCTTGACGTTGAGCAAATAAACAATGAATTGTTCATTCTTCCACTCGGTGGAGTGCGATTTCTCTTTAAAATACAGTTTGCTCATATATAACTTAGCATATCAATCTACCTTATTGCATGATTTCTTCATTGATCAAATTTTTTTGTACTTCTCTATCCATAGTTTTAATGAAAATTGTATTAGATAAAACTATAGATTCTACATATCACAGAGATATGAATAGTAAGAACCATTATCTCTTCCATGAACTCAAAATAAAAAAACAAATGTTATTTCACTCTATAAAAGATATATATTGTGTAGCAACGAATACTGATCCGAGTTCAGACTTTGCCCTCACGATTTATCATTATTAACAAAAGGAAGCAACTCCATCTTGTTTTCTGGTGTGCGAGGAGTCCTATGAGTTCCAGACGTTTTCTGAGAAAGCATATGCCTCACTTATCCATAGAATGTGCAGCCCACAAGTGTGATTTCACATCCAACAGCATTCATATACGATATCGGGTTACGGAATATCAACCATGACACCAATACAACCACCGCAACCTGCCAAAAGTACATATATACTATGATCATGACATCATTCATATACGATAGTGGGTTATGTGTGTTTAAGATTTGTTTTGCTTGAGACAGAAGGCTAACACACCAGAACTGAAGATGAAGCTGTTCATGATACTCAACTGAATATGTAAAAAAAACCACAGTAAAAGATGATACTTATTCAAAAACAGCCCAAGAAACACAAAAACCAAACTGAAACACACCGTGGTTGCTTAACTATATCTTCATTTATGTATGCTACACAGTCGTCACCACAAAAGAGCTGTATGTTGCTTATATCGGCGGCCAATCCCTGTTCCCTACCTTTTGCCATCTAGAGAGAACTTCGGATTTAAGCATTTTGAGCTGGAGTAGTCAAAAGATGGGTGACTTATCGGGAAGTGATTTGCGATACCGTGTAAGTGAGGTCAATGTATGGGAAAAACTCATGTGGTGATTGCAGGGACAATAAACTCTAGAGCCTTGGAAAATTAACGGACCGACTGTTAGAACGAGATGGAGCCCATGGGTCGAGTGAGCATGCGTGGGTGGCCCATTAACCGTGGGCGGTCGGGGCGTTACAAGTGGTATCAGAGCAGGTTATCCATCTCAGTTCTGACCTGAGAGGCGTCTTGACACCTATCGTGGGCGCAACGAGAACGTTGCGTTCTTTGAGGAGGCGTGAATTGTAACGTCTCGAATTATGATATACGAAAAGACTTAAGAGGATTGATTTGGCTACCTATATCACCAAAGATGATTTCCTCGGCTTAGCGGCTAAACTTGCATACTCTCCTGAAACACTAGACACTCTCCCTCCGAGTTCGACCTATGGTTGGTTAAAAAAAATATCTTGTAACGCCCCGACCGCCCACGGCTAATGGGCCACCTATGCCCGCTCACTCGGCCCGTGGGCCCCATCATGTTCCAACAATCGGCCCGTTAGTTTTCCAAGGCTCTAGAGTCATGTTTACTGTCCCTGCAATCACCACATGACCTTTTCCCCTTTTTTAATGGTGTTTCAAGAGGCTCATCATATACCTCGGAGACAGGGCACTACTTAGAAACCCTACCCACGATCCAGAACTTTTGGATTGTTGTCCTCTTGTGTTATGTTCTCCACCACTTCTTTGTCATCTGTCTGTGATTGTTCGCTGATGCCTCACTGTACCAGAAGACCGTAACTGATGTTATTCCGCCATGAGCAATATTCACATTATCAACGTACCGGCTCTGTTCAAAACCACGGCAAATCCCGGCTCTGTTGAAAAACGCGGCCGATTTACTGCGTTTGCAGCCTTTGAAACGCTGATCGGAGTGTTTTTGCCGCGATTTTAGCCAATGCGGTTTTAAAATCGGTCAACCATAAATCGGACGCTTAATGTTTATAAGGCGCTGTTAATCGGATTAATTATCTGACTTATAGCAAAATTAAATTGTTTTAAGCTTAACTAAAAGATGGACTTTGCCTAACACAAAGCATGTTCAAGTTCTTGTGAAGCAATAGCATGTCTTATTTATACTTTTTGAATCTTCTGCTCCATGTTACAATTGTCCGATGTGGGATGTTTAGAACTTTCATATTTTTTTTATATATAAAATTTGACATTGTCGAGGGCTGAACTTTTGACTTAATGTAGTATACACTTTTAACTTGACCATTAAACCACTCTACCATACTATTAAATTTTGCATCAACAATATAATATACTATATTATGTTAAAATATATAAAAGCGTGTTCAAAATTAATCTCCGCTTAATCCCCGATTAATCTCCGATTTTTGGTTATCTTGCTAGGCCCGTCTCGTCTGCCCGACTACACCAGCGTAATTTCGAACAGAGCGTACTGGTAATCATCCATCACCAATTCAGAACTAGTCTCCCAGAAAACGTCACCTTCCTTGGTACGCATACTCAGAAGTCTCGAGTTTTCATCCTGAATCAATATATCCCGTTCGTTGGCTAAAATAACCCCACATCGTGTGATTAATGATCTCAAAATTGAACAGCTTTGAGCCTCTCTAACCGCTGGAATTGTCTCCAGGTTTAACATAAAAAAATCCTCGCTGGAATTGTCTCCAGGTTTAATATAAAAAAAATCCTCGCCGTTGATAATTTTGTTTCTGATGCATGTCGCATCAAGGAACAAATTTGCAGTTGATCGAGGATCTAAACCCTGGTAACAACAAACTAACACTTCAACATACTAATAGAGACTCTGGAGGAATCTTCGAGGAGAGCAAGGGTGATGCGGCGACGAGAGAGACAGACGACGATTCCACAGATAGAGACTCCGGCTGATGCTGTCGACGAGACGGAGATATCATCGTCCGGAGATATCACCGTTCTGAGTCGCCTCGAGAGAAATAGAGAAGACGAGGTGGTTGTGAGAGAGAGTGATGTTGAATGAATGACACATTCCCTCAGGAACCCGTCTCTTCCCCGTCTTCGTTAAGCAATGTCTCTTGCTTAATTAGCTAATTTTTTTTAACCTAAATACGCGGCTAAAGATACTGCGATAAATATGCTCTAAGGTGGCTAAATGCTTAAAGACTCTTACTTTTCTTCCTAACAAGACAATACTCCATGTGAAAGTAGTGTGTTTTTCTTGCTTATGAGATACCGATGGTGAATATGTTTTTGTTTAACAAGGTCAATAACATCATGGGTTCTTTTCTCCTTCTCTTAAAAGTAGCACCTCTCCTGCTATCTTTTTTCATGTATTCCTCTTTTTTATTTGTTTGGTAATCATGAACTTAGATATAAACAGGTTTCTCTTCACAAGAGAAATATTATTGTGGATAGATTTTAAGTGATCAGCAAAAAGATGGTCTTGAATTCTGTTGGCGTATGTGGCTGTATAAGATCTTTGGATCATTTGATTTGTTATGTGATTGGAGCAGTTGTTTTTCAGCTATTTTATGATTGATATGTAAGTGTAATATATTTCCTTCAGATAATGCTTTGATCATTTATCCAAATGAGCTAAGTAAAGCAGGCCAACCGTTAATCAAGATTTGGTGTTTTTTTGAAAGGATATATAGTTATACTTTGTTTTGTCTGTCTCTCCATCTGATTTTTCCTTCCCATCTTATAGTCATTGGCTAAAGCCAAGTATTTTAAAAAGGTAACCAAAATGGTGTCCTACATCTGAATTTGTTCTCCTTTAAAACATATAGCTATTATGGTTAAACCTATAATGTCTTCTCATGTTTCAGGAAGATGAAATAAATGAGAAAATAGTTGGACGATATAATGCACGTAAACACACAGGATATTTTGCTATGCATCCAAAGTGTGATGATTATAAAAGGAGATTTTGTTGTGCTTAATATGTAAATAATGACTTACCATGCTTCACATCTATAGGGCTGAAGGAGCTAAGGTGGAAAGCTTAAAAAAGAACTTCAAAAAGCCAAATGGCTTGAACCGTGGAAACGTGTTGTGTATTAGACACAAAGTGTCCCACATCGGAAGCTGTAAGGGATATTAACTAGTATATAAGATAGATGGACCAATCCACTTATCACCAACTGGTTTTAGGTTTGAAGTCCATCTAGCTTAACATGGTATCTTAGCCATCGATACCCTAATTTTCTCAGCCACTTTCTTGTCTTTTCTTTTGTTCTCTTTCAATCGATAATGTATATCTCAAAAACCAACTCTCCCGTGACCACAAACAACACCGGCCCCTTTGAAACAATCACGGTTGCCGGTTAACAATCCCTTCTTCATGTCAACATGACGAATGTGGTCAAGCTCATCTCCACCAACTACATGATGTGGAGCAGACAATTTCATGCCCTCTTTAATGGTTATGAAAATTCTCAGGCTTCTTCGATGGATCAGTCGTGGTACCAGAAGAGAAGCTTCCTAACATTAATGGTGTCTTAATTCCCAACCCGCTGTATACACACTAGCATCGCCAAGACAAACTGGTGTACAGTGCTCTACTTGGAGTGATTTCGGGTTCTCTCCAACCGCTTGTCTCACGCTCCGTTACTGCACCTGATGTATGGAGCACCACAACTGAGACATATGCCAAGCCTACCGTGGACATCTGAAGCAGATCAAGCATGAGATCAAAAACCTCAGCCATGTTAGGAGTGAGACCGAGTTTCCTTACCAAACACTCACAACCAAAGCTCAAACACAAGACCAAACCGTCCCCACCACTTCCTTTACACCTCTCGTCCTTCCCATTCCGCTCACTAGTTCCTCTGGTTCACCCGTGGAGCTGGCTCCTTAGATGGACTCTTCAGTTGACACTCATGTGATCTCTCCTACACCATTGCCTGCAGTTCAAGTACCACCAACAACAACATAGGTCTATAATCCGTTTGCATCTCAGCCGGAGCAACCACATCAGAAACAAGATCCAGCCCCACCTCAACAACAGCCTCTGCAACAAATAACAGTGGAGAATCGTCATCCAATGTGCACAAGATCCAAGAATGCTATTTCTAAACTAGTTCAGAAGTATGCTCTTTCTGTTACTAGAGAACATCAGAACAGAGAACCTTTGACATGGCTACACCTACAAGTATAATGCTGATGGAACTCTAAAATGTCGCATGTCTCGCTTGGTTGCTGAAGCTTACCATCAACATCCTGGAGTTGATTTCACAGACACCTTCAGCCCAGCTATCAAACCAACCACCATTCGAACTGTTTTGGGCATTGCAGTGAACTTTGATAGGCACATCAGACAGTTAGATGTAAACAATGCATTCCTCTCTCAGCCTCCTGGATTTTTTTACCAAGGCAAATCGTCCCATGTATGCAAACTTAACAAGGCGATTTATGGGCTTAAACAAGAACCGCGTGCTTGGTATGTGGAGTTGTGTAGTTTCTTATTATCTACTGGCTTCAAGAATTCTCTCAGTGACGAGTCTCTCTTCATTCTCAAGAACAATGGCGACTGGATCTATCTCCTTATTTATGTTGATGACATGCTTGTCACATGTACCAACAAGGCGTTGATTCAACAGATCATCGCCACCCTAGCAACTCAGTTTATTATTAAAGATCTTGATCATCTAAGTTATTTTCTTTAACAAAGACAAGAGATGGTCTCCACCTCATGCAACGGAAATACATATGTGATCTGCTACACCAGACCCAGATGCTGGATGCGAAGACAGTAGCTACACCTCTGCCCACGTCGCCAAAGCTAACACACAACTCAGGTCCATCATTACCTGATCCTAGAGAATATAGAATGGTCGTGGGAAGCCTTCAATACTTTTCTCTAACACGACATTACGTGTCTTTTGCTGTTAACAAGCTCTCCCAGTACATGCATAAACCCACAGTTGATCATTGGCAAGCAGCTAAAAGAGTTATCCATTACTTGGCTGGAACTACTACTACTCATGGGATTCATCTTCAAAAACAGAACAAACCACAATTATATGCGTTCTCTGATGCTGATTGGGGGGGGGGGGGCACGTATGATTTCCTCTCCACCAATGCTTATATAGTCTATCTTAGTAGTCAGCCAATATCATGGTCTTATAAGAAACAACACGGGTTTTCACGTTCCTCGACCGAGGCAGACTATAGAGCCGTTGCCAACATTGCATATGAGTAAATGTGGATATGTTACTTTCCTAACAGAACTAGGCATTCTCTTACTGGAAAAACCTACAATTTATTGTGACAACATAAGTGCAACTTATCTATCTGCAAAACCTGTCTTCCATTCAAGGATGAAACACATTTCCCTTGATTTTTATTTTGTACGTGGTCAGGTTCAGAATGGCATTCTTCGGGTCACTCATGTGTCCACTAAAGAGAAACTTGCATATGGCATTACCAAATCACTGTCAAGACCACGGTTCCAAGATCTTAGACACAAGAATGGTGTTCGATCACTCCCTCCATCTCGAGGGGGTGTATTATGGAAAGAGTATACTCCAAGATCGTATATATTAACTCATTACTTGTGTATCACTCCATATATCTTCTTCCTATAATATGCGCTTGTACTCTGTATATATATAGACTATTGTCTATGTTAATGTATCATTCAAACCTATTAGTTCTACATGGTATCAGAGCCCTCGATCCACAAAGCCCAACCTGATCCTCTTTGAAATGGTCCAAAGATGGCCCATCGATCCTTGCCTGAGCATTCCGAGCTTGACGCCAAAGTGTCATCATCTTGAGAGTGCGTATTAGACCCAAAGCGTCCCACACTGAAAGTTAGAAAGGATATTAACTAGTATATAAGATAGATAGGTCAGTCTATTTATCACCAATTGGTTTTAGATTTGAAGTTCATCTAACTTAACATTGTAAAGTAGATGAACCAAAACTATGTAATCAAATGGTTTCATTAATAATATTTTAATAAAGGAGTTGACACAAAGATGATCCCATATACCTTTTATTTTTGAATCTCGTATATCAGACCTTTTTTATTGTGTAGATATTATTGAACTTGCGTTCATCTAAGATTCAAGTTGTACCCAACATTTAATGCGATACCAGAAAAAACAAAAAAAAAGACATCTACGTTAAGATGGAAACCAAAGAAGCATCTACACAAACACACCAAAGAATGCAGATTCAACAATGATCACATTTAAATAATAAAATTAAATCTGCGAATAAAAGACAAAAAAAAATTGTCATGTAATTGTTGACAAAAAAAAATTGTCATGTAATTATATCACCACCATCATATACCAAATCCCTATTTAAAAAATAAGTGAACACGGAATTACATAATTAACATGGTAAACGTAGTGGGACATTACTGCAATAAATAGCAGCTATGAACAATTAACACTTCATGAAACCCAAACTAGAAAAAATAAAAAACTAAATAAAACCCAAACTAGAATCGTGACAAAAAAAATAAGTTAACATCCTAAATACATAACACCACTAATACGACAAAATTAAAATACACATATTAAAACGTTGAAATAAATATTTCTCAAAAAAACGTTAAAATAAATACCAACAATTAATAATTTAAAAGACGAAATACAAATCACAATTCAATCCAAAGAGACATTCATAAAAGTTAATATTTTTGTGTCAACTACAGTGTCATGATCCAAACCCACCAAATTCGGAATTCCCAGTCCAATCCCAAAGCCCATTCAAAATTGCCCAAAGTACTTAATATAAAATCTCTTTTCTTTCCCAAAAACACATCACTTCATGCAAGTAAGAGAAGTTTTAGAGAGAGTGTTGAGAGAGTGTTTAGTTTTGTAGAGAGAGTCGCCGGAGCACTTCGCCGGAGAAAACCCCACGCCGTGATCACGTCCAGCTCGTTACCACCGATCGCCAGCCTAGGTAACCACCGCGAAAC